GGCAGACAGGCTACTGGGCTAGATGGACCTTTGGTCTGACCCAGGACGGCCATTGTAAGCTCATGGCTCAGGGTCGGGGGTCTCAGTAGTTTTCCAGAACTTTAAACTTCCAGCCATGTCTATACTCACAAATTAAATCAACACACATAGATGCCTCAGAGCTGTGAAAAATCCACATTCCTGGTTAACATTGTCAAGATGAGTTATCTCGGGTCTAGACAGAACTATGTCAATGGAAGAATTATTCCATCAACTTAAGTAAATTATTGAAACACTGGATTAACTACAGTCATTAAAGAACTCCTCCTATCCCTGGAAGGAATGACTGAACCGAAGCAATAAAGTGGTGCAGCTCCAGCTGTGCTTTTGTAGCATTTCAGACATAGACAATCCTTCCTTCAACCAAATAGGAAGGAAAGGAAAAATGAACAAAAAGGCTGTAGGAAAGTGTGTCTCTTTGAAACAGAAAAGGGGCCACGTCTCAATATCTAAATGGTGCAAATTCTTTCATGATTGTCATACTAAAGTAGCTATGAACTGAGTGTCACTCTGGCATTTTTAAATTGAAATTTGATGATTCTTCAAAAGATGAAAAAGAAATTACTTTAGAGAAGGTGTCTGGATAGTAACTTAAAGAGTTCAGATTTATGATTGCAATATATCCTTCAAGTCTGTAAATCTATGAGTCTGTATTCAGCAAAATTGCTAATGAATGGTATATATGGAGATTCTAGGCAATTTTTAAAAAAGTATAGAATCTACTATATCTTCAACATAATCAAATAGGCATTAAATACCAGTCCTATACATTGAGTGGGTGAGGAAGGTTTTGTGACACCTACTAGTCAGTTTGTATAAGAATGTATGAATGGCCATACTTGGTCAGACCAAAGGTCCATCTAATCCACTATCCTGTCTGCTGACAATGGCCAATGCCAGATGCCCCAGAGGGAATGAATAGAACAGATGATAATCACGTGATCCCTCTCCTGTCATCCCTTTCAGCTGCTGACAAACAGAGCCTGGGACACCACCCCTGCCCATCCTAGCTAATAGCCATTAATGGACCTACCCTCCATTGTTTTATCGAGTTTTCTTGGAACCTTATTAAAGTCCTGGTCTTTACAACATCCTCTGGCAAGGAGTTCCATAGGTTGACTGTGAGCTGAGTGAAGAAATCTGCTACCTATTAATTTCATTTGGTGACTCCTAGTTCTTATCTTATGGGAAATAGCAAATAATTTTTCCTTATTCACTTTTTCTACACCAGTACTGATTTTATAGATCTCTATCATACCCCCCTTTGTCTTCTCTTTTCTAAGCTGAAAAGTCCAACTCTTTTTAATCTCACTTCCAAGCCTCTGATCATTTTTATTGCCCTTTTTTAAATCATTTCTAATGCCAAGATATCTTTTTTGAGATGAGGCAACCACATCTGTATGTAGTATTCAAGATGTGGGCATACCATAGTTTTATACAGAGGCAATAAGGTATTCTCTGCCTTATTCTATATCAGTTTTTTAATGATTCCTAAATTCTGTTTGCTTTTTTGGCTGCTGCCGTACATTGAGTGGATGTTTTCAGAGAAATATCCACAATATATCCAAGATCCTCTCTTGAGTAGTTATAGGTAAATTAGTCCCCACTATATTATATGGATAGTTAGGATTATTTTTTCCAATGTGCATTACTTTACATTGATCAACATTTAAATTCATTTGCCATTTTGTTGCCCAAGCACTTAGTTTGGTGAAATCTTTTTGAAGCTCTTCATAGTCTGCTTTGGTCTTAACTATGTTCAGCAATTTAGTATCATCTGGAACTTTTGCCACCTCACCATTTAGCAAGGAGGAAGACCAAGGACAGGGTAGGCCCATTGCTCAGGCTATGTCTACGCTACAGCTTTTTTTCGGGAAAAAGCTATCCAAATTGTGCTCTGCAATTAGAATTGCTTTTCCTGATTGCTTTTCTGGAAAAGGCTTTTCTGACATTTGGCCCCATGTAGATGGGGCCAGATTGGGGAAAAGGCTCCTCTTTCAGAGGAGTCCTTAGTCGTCATAGAATGAGGTATACAGGGTTCTGT